ATTTAGTGTATATTAAAGTTTATATTTGAATATAATAAAAAAGTGAGGTCTATTATATATCTTAAAAGCTTCAAAATAAGTATATCAATTACAACTATATGCTTAAAGTGGCAGTAATTGGGACATTTACCCTACATCTTTTCCATTTTTCAGGAAAACAAAGCATGTAAATATTTTATTTTACATTTTAACATATTTTTTCACGTAGATTCATTCCCTTTAAGCTTGTACTACCAAGTCTTGGATACTCTGTTTTATTGTAATATTATTTATACTCTCTTTTAATTTATGATTTCTCTTAAAAGAAGATAAACTATTGTTACAATCTTAAGGTGGTTTTAAAGCATCCACTAAATACTTCTTTTTCCTTTTGATAACTTCCTACATTCAAGAGACTAAAGTTACTTACAATTAGCCGAAATATTTAAGAGGATCGATAACCGACGCGCGACGCCTCGCTCTTGACGCGAGTCGGACAAAGAGGGAAATCAAATGAAGCGAATGCAATTGAAGCGTTGTCAGCGCGATTATCCGAAGCGTCGTCGTTGGAACTATCGAGTTATCGAATGAGCGTCGCTCTCAGAGACGCCTTAGTGAAGTTCCGGTCGTTGAAAGCGTGGCGCGTGTTAAGTGTCCAAGGGACCAGAGAATTAACATCGTTTCGCGTTGTTTCTAGCTGAATAAGTGAATCCTCTCTCTCAGTATTCCAGACAATTACTCATATTCATATAACTTTGCAGGAAATTCACATAATCTAGGAAAAGAGGAAAAAAAAGAAAAAATAGAGAAGGGGAACAGAATAGCATTTTATTTCGCGAATTTAGAGCAGTAATTTACGGACTAATTTAATGATTGTTACAAAATTTCTTTTTATTACATTCTTTTATTGACGATTTAACTACCATGTTATTATTGTTTATGTACTCTATTGTATTTCAGTGATTATAATTTAGTCGTTTTAACAACATGAAATAAAGGAGTAGATTTGCAAAAATCCAAGATATATAACTGAATAGATCTTCATAAAACTTTTATCAAACTTTCTACTGGATCATGGAACCATATTAGTAATAAAGGATTTTATGTAGCAAAATTTTATGATGACAAGTGGAACCTACAAATCATCCTTTTCAGAATTTGAAAAGAAGTTAATCAAAAAGATCGAAGACTCTTAGATCATTTAAGTGACTGAGAGAATGCACACACTAAGAAGTTCACAAGATTAAATATATGTAGAATCCAAAAAGAAACATTTTCCGAAAGGACGACCTTATGTCCCAAATCACCATATTGGCTCTTCCGCATCTCTACATACAATCCATTCACCAGTATGATTCTATAACAGTAGAACGTTTGGTGAAAATTTCATGAAAATTTATTTAGTTGAATACTTGAATTAATCTTTGTATACTCCTTTCTTAAAAAATAATAGACATTACAATAATGAACAATGATACATCATAATAAACGTATAAGCGCTATTAATTTTCATATAAATTTCAAAATTTAACAAAATTTGTTATTTAATAACAAATGTCATATAGGATTAATTGTAAAAATTGGATAACGACAAATTTATTTTATGCGTTTAATTGCTCGTATAATTTGAAGTGCAAAGTAAAAGAATTGTGATGGCATACACACTGATGCGGCTTTTCAATTTATGCAAGACTATTCACGAGAAAATGCACGCCGTGAATACTTTCGGCGACAAACGTAAACGCGTTTTTACGTTTTCATTCGTAAGGCATTTCGCGAGGCTCGTGAAATCATAAAGAATTCAGAACGTGAACCAAGTATTGGGTAACTCAGGATAAGAGTGCGGGAACCTCGGCGACGAACTTTTTACGACTCGCTTTAACTCGTAAAGTCGATGCCAGCCGTGCGTTACTGCGATTAACTCTTTCCTCACGGAAAACCCTAAACGCAGCACCGCGAAGTTTCCGGCCGCGCTAGAACAGTAATTCGCTAACACTCGATCGAATGAACTTGAATATCAGGGTGCTTTCCTTTCTTTTGCAAGGAAAAAAATTATGGAAAATTGCGAAACTTCTGTTGACCAGAAATAAGAAAAGTTTGCTACGATGAGATCGACATACCTCAAGAAAGTATTTCCTGTAAAAGAGAGATCGAATAGGTAAAGTAGACTTATTTAGATTCTAAGCACATTTTTCAAAGAATTATTTTAAAAAAAGAAAAAACTACATTAATGACGTAAATAATTGAAAATCATAAAAGAGTATGAATTTTTGATAATAAAAAGAGTATCCTGACTGTTATAAAACGATTAAAAAAAGCTATCATTAAAATTAAAATGAAAGATTCTAAATGTATATGTAAGACGGATAAAATATGTAAGTGAAAATCTGGGTTAAAAACGAATGTACAGTAGAAATAATTAAAAATAAGTTTATTAATATAGAAGTGTATTGTTTATTGTACTGTACAAAATAATAATTTTTCGACTTGCAAAAACAAAATATAGAATATGCAGAAAATAGTAACTACAGTAAGTATACATAACGATACATGTTGATTTATATTATGCCATGCAAAGCAAAGTCAGATTTTCCTTTCCATTCGTCGTAAATTTCGCGTAAACAAATCCGTAGATTATATGTTTCTCGATATAAGATGCGCATTCAGATGGGAAAGCAAAATGTGATGCGCTATAAATTTATCGGGCAATAAATTGCATATTGCATTTGAATATGTTTTCGACATCGAATAAATTAGAGAATTTTTAACATAATAACTCCTTTTAAAAACATTTATTTTAACTATTGCAATAACGCTTCTATTTGTAAATTTATAATTGTAAAATTTACAACTAGAAACCAAATAATATTTATTATAACGGAATTATTACAATTGAAATAATGTGTAGATACAGTTAGATGAAACTGGTTGCATATTTAATATAATTATTAATGTTATTTATATTAACCGCATTTATAAATTAATTCAACAATATATAAAAAGAAAAAATAAAAAACTTTAATTTTATTTAAGTTTAAAATAAAAAATATAAAAATTTATAAAATAAAGATACAACATAATATCTATTTATCTAAAAAAAACCCTGTGAGATAAAACATACCGCAACGTAAGCAAACTGTTACAGAACAGTTAGCTATTACGTTAGATGTTTGAGAATCAGTCAACCGGTTGACCTTTCATGTCTGTTTAGTTCACGAATCCCGAAGTTGCACTCTCAACAACTATAACACTACACTTGCAAATTGAAACAGCAACTTCTTGAGCAAGCTCTTATTAACTACCATCTATAGGTCTGAAGTGATAATTGAGGTGGAATTGTCAAGTAACAAAACTAAAATGCATAAAAAAGAGAAAAATAAGTAAAAAAATTTTTGCATATAACAAAATCAAACACTTTAATCTATTATAGTATTATACATTAATCTCTCAAATACATATTTAATGAAATATTTCTAATATAATTTTAAGAATCTGTACGTCAACGTACTATTTCAAGAATGATATTTACAGACGGTATCTTTATTGTTTAAAACTTTTTAAAATAATAAATGGAAAATAACATATTTTATACTCAATCATTGCTAACAAATCTTCTTCACAAAAAGTTACACGAAACTTGTAACAGCATTCCATATAACATCATTTAATTTAATAATTTAATATACAGTCGCAAACTATATAATTATCCTGACAGTACGCCATTATATCGATAATTTTTTCAAATTATTGTCGGAGCGTTAAAAATTGTGGATTTATGTACGCATTGAGACATTAATAGTTTATATTTATATTTGAACATTTAGTAAGACTAGTGTAGTCACACTAGTTTGAAGAACAGTTTGAAAAAATTATCAATATAATAGAGCACTATTCATACAATTAATTTTGCGACGTATGCACATGTATATATGCACGTGTATACACATGTCAATCAACAGAGAAATCTTTTTTTTATTTGTATTAACAGTCAGCCAATCACTACCCTTCTAATCATAGTAATCAAATTCATTTATCTCAGCTTGTTCAACTTCGATCTCTTCTATATACGGTTCGAGATATCGTATCGATACTCTATATCCTGCTCGTACGTGACCCATTTCTCCCTGGATAGATATATCTTCAGGAAATTCAGCTGTGCAGCGCGTATGATCCTGCAAAGCATGCAAAACTGTTACGTGCCTTCATTCGAGAAGCGCCTGAGTGGCATAATAGAAAAGTCAACTGCGTAGTCGCAGAATATTCCAGAGGCTTGTAATGCAAAAAAGAGTACAGGAATCTCTCTCGTTAATTCGTAGACGATGGAAACCTCCAGGACTGGCTACAGAAATAACGCGAAGTAGGATTTCATCGCATACTATATTGTAATGTAGAATAATATCGCTGTTTAACTAAGTCTCAAATTAAGAGATCTCATCAAGCGTATTTAGTACTTAATGAAAGAGACGTCTTTACAATTCTTTGAAGCGCAATACAATGCGTTGCAAATGCACGATGCTGTCAGTCTCTCATCTGGCATATAATTACATATGCATTGTAAATTTGAAAAAAGTCTATGTGTAACTGTGCGAGCATCGCGTTCAGTAAAACTTTATATTAAAAACACGAATTTATATATTATATTAATTTAAAATTACGAAGCTTTTTCAATTATTAAATCTTGCCTATTAAAGTGGAGTTATATTTGATTGTAGTATATTTATTTTACATAATATTAGAAAAAAATTTAAAGAATATATTTATTTTCCCTTATATTTATATATTATATGTATGAAAATATGCTTATGATTGCATCTTTTACATTTTTTACGCCTTTCTTTTACATCTTCTTCATAGTTATTTATAGATATACAATTTTTGTTTTTTTTATTATAAGGGATCTACGTTAAATTTATGTTACGAAATTCCTGGCATCCAGCACTTCCTCTGGCAGTCGACGCAGAGTCGCGTACTACAAGATCATCGTAATACAATACAATGTCGTCCGTGTAAAGCCCATATTTGTTGTATCCCGATAAATTGAATTCTGATTTTTTCAAGGTGAATTTTCAGTTCTCTTTATGCTGATTCTGTGCAAAATTCCGCTTAGGTAATTTCAGATTTTTCATTAATGTCCAAGGCAATTTCATGTTAGAAAATATTCCTCAGATTCCCACAAACTCATTTATATAATACGTATTAAAACTTTAACCTTTTTGATAATGATTGTATCATGATGTTTTCTTATATCACGCATCTTTCAATTGTTTCAAGGGTTGCGTTTAGCCATGGTGGAATGCGTTCAGCCATGAGAGAGAGAGACAAGATACTATTAAAAACTGATATTCTTACGAGAGTTCACATCTGTGTTGAAATTTAAATGGTTTAGCATAAGAAATTGATAATATAGTACTAATTTCATGATTTATTAGTTTCGTTTAGACATGTATATTTAAAACTCAATAATACTCGACTTTTATTTAAAACTGTGATTTTAATGTTATCGTCTGAGTTTGATTATCAAAACCCAGTAAATGAGAATGGATTAAAATGATTGAAATTTTATCTATCCGAATGTGTATTTCAAATAACAAAAACTTTTTTTATTTAATTGGATTAAATTGTATTCAATTGGATTTCATTGAATTTAATTGGATTCAATTTTTATTCAACTGGATTAAAAAACTGCATTTTATGTTTCAAATTTTGATGTATTCACGAGGTACAGAAAAAAAAGCTAATATTATTTTTAGATTGAAAGGCATAGAAATGTACTTCATGGAATTTCTATAAATGAATAAAAATGCATTCGGATTGAAAAAGATTTATTTTAAAGTTCACGAATACGTATATTTTTGAAAATCTGAATCTATTTCAATCCATTTCAATCCATTTTCGTTTATTGGAAATAGGGATGATATTGATGATAACTGTAGAAAAAATTAAAATTATAATTTTACAGTAATATATATAAGATATTACAGCATTAGAAGTATACATACTTATTAAGAGAGCATTTATATAATAAAAAGTCATGACTTTAATAATATGTTATCCAAATATTTATATTAACAATCGCAAATTTATATCAATTATTGATCAGCATTCTTCAATTAGTTTCAGATCTTTTGTAAGAACAAAAATTTGCCCAGGATTGACAGTCTTTAATAGTATCTCGTGGATAGTCCAACAGAGAAAATTAATCAATGAGCACTCACCAGTCAGTGATTTTTTATAAAGATTGATTCTTACACTTACAATTAAATCCAATAAAGAACTAAAGGCAAGAACTAATCGTGTTAAGAACAATCTCTAAGCGCTCACTGATCAGTTTTCTCTGCTAAATGCAGCCATTTTTTATATGAAAAGAAATCAATTTGCACATTGCCTATTACCTCCAACTAATTCTTTTCATAGATATGTATCTCAACAAAAATTAATAGAATTATTTTCTATTTCTCTAGTAATTGTAGAACTATTTGGAAAACTAGGATTTAAAAACATATTTAGTATAAATACATATTTAGTAATCACAGCGAAGTTTAACTATGGAATAGTAAAGAAATATCAGTATATTTTTCAAACATATCTATACCATACAGTGCGTCAACTATATTTTTCTTTATAACTCTTCCCGTTTTTGTAAAAGCGGACTTGCGATATCATTAGTTGAAAGTGAAGCGGATTAAAAAGCTGCAAAACGTTGCGAAAATAAAGCTATACCGGAAGCGCTTTGTTGAATAGCCGGAAGATAAAGAAAAAAGGAACAAAACGAAAAAAACCAACAACGTGAAAGTCATCCGTGCAACAATATTTTTACGAACTAGACAATCTAATTGATTTTTTTTTGTATCGCGTCGTTACATTTATCTTGACACATATTAAAATAACATCCACAACACACTGCTCTAGTTTTTTTCGCTAGTCTTTTTTTGTATCGTCAATCAATCAAATCAATTATTGTAGACGTCAATTACATTATTTTTATTAATGCAGTTTGAATAGAGGTACAAATAGAGATGTAATCTTTAAAATTTTTATGAAAATCGAATGATCCTCTAATACCTTTTACTTTATTTAAAATAATCTAAATACATTAAGATATATAAAGTTTGCAAAATAAAATGACAAAAATTGAGTTTCATAACGCTTTAACATAATATATTCATTTATAAATTAAATTATATGAGAATATTTCGGAATCATTCCACATTAGTCTATATTAGTGTCGTAATTATAATTATATCTCAATAATGGTGATTCATTAAAAATAGCACGATGAAGAGAAAATAAAGATTAATTATTTATTTAAAACATAATAATTACATATTTAAAAATCAAGATGAAGATGGCTCTGCAAAGTAACTTACGCAAGATGTAAGACATTGTTCAACGACAACAGAACTTTAGGAAGCATGTTATCGCTGTTGTTGGAAACAACATCACTAAGCAAAAGAGCTGAGTCATGAAAATCGGATGAAAAGAAGACAAAACGACTATACAAGGTTCTTCCAGGTTTTTGTGTGAGCCATTGCTAGTGATTTATGCCGGGGATGAAGTCGGGACAGCTATCGTCGGCGCGTATATTCCTGCAAGCATAACTTCTACAAGAACGCGCGCGTGACTACAACCATATTCATGAAGCAACGCTGTCCTTCGATGTGCTATCCTTTGTATAAGTAGGTGTCATAAAATGGTTTCAATTCCAATTTCAATTTTAAATGGCAAATTTAGACTGAATTTTCTAAATATAGGATACCTAAACGGTCTAAAAGTTATTTAAAAATTAAATTTATCAAATTTAAATTTAAAATATTGCTTCGACACAGAAAATCTAAAACAAAATTGGACATTAAAAGTACACAATACCCACACTGAAAAAAATTTCTGGTTGAAAATGGACGAATCAGAATTTTCTGATTAAATTTATTAGAATTCTAGTTGAGATGACAGGAATTCTGGTTAATACAATATTTCTGGTAAAATCTATACTAGAATTCTCATTTTTACCAGAATAATTATATCAATCAGAATTCTAATTACCTCAACTAGAATTCTAATAAATTTAATCAGAAAATTCTGATTCGTCCATTTTCCACCAGAATTACTATTTAATCCAACCAGACCATTTTTCTCAGTGCAGCTAACGCTAAATACTCCTGAAATATTCAAAAGGTTCCTAATATTCCAAAGAAAAAAAAAACGTTCCAAGAATATTCCAAAATATCTCGAAATATTTACAAAATATAAAAGCGATATTCAAATATCGATTAAAAATTCCATTTATATATCGTTACATATTCCATATATACTCCATGAAATGTTCCATATATATTCTACAAAATTTTAATTTTTTCAAAAATTTCAGATTCGGTCGTCCCTGAATCACTTTTTAAACAAAATTTCATCCAATTTGTCATTTACAAGATTTTCAGATATGCATCTTTTTGTTAGATATGTTGCCTTTTCATACGCTACTTTTTCGCGATACTTCCCTCGTGTAATTCATATATATTAAACTGCGTACGCATATTTTCTGAATTTCCAAAACGTGATGCTCAACTGGCAGGACTGTTTTAAATAGAGATGACACTTTCGTCCTGCCTCCTGTGTCATGCTCAATACGCTCTGATGAGTTGCATAGTTGTGTTCTACGTATAACGCTCTACGTGACGAAACTTTCCGATATTTTATGTCCAACTACGCGTTGCAATGTAATTAAACACATTGCAAAATATCTATGATATATAAAATTAAATTACAGATATATTCCCCTTAAATACATAAATGTAAGTACAAATTCCTAAAATTTGGCAATTATTTTGTTTTAGAATTACTCTTTATTATTTAATTACATTGTGTATAATTACGAAATTATATGCATGCTTAGAAGTCGAATAAATTATACTCACAATTTTGGAATATATAAAATTTGCAGCAATTTAAATAAATAAAAATTAAATTATACAAAGTAAAGTTTTTTTCTTAGGAATTGGTTCCACAAATTCTCAAACACTTTAAATTAACTCTGAATACTAAGCTGTTCGTGTTTATATGTTTTACAATGCTTAAACAATGCAATCATTTCTCAATACAAATCTTATTTGTCTTTAACTATTGCCGTATTCGTAGTACCAAACTTCACGCATAGTGATCTCTGTTAAAGTATGATAAAACTATAATATGGAATAGAAATCACGCGTTTCAGTAATACCGCATCCAATATTATAACTCGATATACAATCATCGAACCGCACGGAATTGAGAAGAAAACATTATCCCAATCTATTGGCGAGGACTGAAGTCAAGAAGAAACTTGCATCTATAAAAAATGCGGTATGTTGTAGGAGTTTTAAATTGCAAATCTCGATGAGACTCTCCTCTTAAGTGCCGATTCCGATAGTGTGGTCTTCGTAAGAATCTCATGCATCGTAAAAAAAATTTGTTCGGAAATTTTTGTGCGTACTCTGTCTCTTCTCGAAGTATCTACTTCGATTTTTATTCCATTGTGAAATATCGATCGATAGGAGCACTCATTCCGAACAAAATCTCGCTCTTTTTTTACGAGCGACACTATCTTTCGCTTTTTCCGTTCTTCAGTGGCGGGAGTAATCGCGCCAAGCCACTATAACAGAATGGTCGAATGAGCCCGACGAAGGCAGACTCGTTCGACCGAAATTATACTTACCGTCTCGTTCGAAGATGATACAGAATTAAGCATTGTAGTACTGCTTGTCAGTGCTCGATTTCATAATATTTCAGAGTGTAACGCAACTAAAAGGAGGCGCCAACTCACCGATTTTTTTCTAAATCTTTAATTAATTTATAAGTTAAGTTTTCTCTATCATCGAGAATGAAACGGTAAATATAAATATATGTATATAATCATGAAAAAGACCTTAGATCCTCCTTTATTGGAAGTTACCTTTTGAAAAGAGCCGAGTTTTGCCCCCAAAAAAGGTGTAAGTACAAGAAATAGTATTCTTTGTAGAGAGAGAGAGAGATTTTAATTTTCTGGATACGATAAAATTATTAAAATGTTTGTAGCGTTTAGGAAACATTTCGAAAATTAAACACATGGTATATTTACATTGTCTAAATTTTAATGTTCTCGCTCAATTGTCGAGGTATTCCAAACTTTTTAATAACTTTATCGTATCCAGAAGATCAAAATTTACAAAAAATACTATTTCTTTTATTCACATTTTTTTAGCAAAAATATTTCACATATTTCTATTATCACTATTCACACAAAAATTTACGAAACTCGTTTGTTAGCAAATTGTTAGAATATCTTGGACAACGTTTTATGGAAATGGAATCATAATTCCACTGCTATGTAGGTCAGCGCAGTGACATTTCAGTCAGTAATTACTCCTGCCGGAAATGAAACGTCGGCCATCTTGCACCTGCCGCAAATCGAACGGACTGGTAAATCGAGGAAATTAGCCATAGCAAAGAGGAATTTCATTTCTCTAGGAATTGATCCGAAAATACAAATCAATTGACTTGGAAGTGACGGTACCAATTGTAACAAAAATTAAAATAAGAATTGGAAATTTTACGAAAACTTTTTTTTAAATTACTAACATAATGTATTATACAAAATTATAATTTGAGGATATTTTTATTAAAATAAATGCACGCTTAAAAATACATAACAATATATATGTATATATATATGATTAAAAATACATAATTTGAATCTAAATAACTAAATAATAATTACAATATATTGTAACATGAGTGCAACTATTGCAACTTATGCACGTTCGTTTTTTACGCGATACATACATATATTTTCTATACTACAATATAACTCATCGCGTTTATGGCAATTATGAGTTTTACTAAACAGATTCCTGGGCCATACGATACTCAAAAACACTTCCGCGTTCTGCAAAATTATGCAAACTTTTATTAGATTTTGTATCTTGGTATTCTGATGTAGATCTTGTTGATAAATATTGTGAATCGTAAGTCTTCGAATAGACCGAAGATCTTTCAGCTTGCTTGTCTTTGTAAACGGAACCATAACCACCACCACCTGGAGTTTCAATAATGAACTTATCCTGTAAAGGAACCGTATAAATTTGATCAGAAAAATTTGTTAGCTAAACTTTCGTAATAACAATAATTGCATGTTATTAAGATAATCAAAGTATTATATTGGTAAACACCAAAAGCTGAAAAGAAAAAAATTAATGATTTATGTCTTAAATATTTTTTTAGCCCTACTTATTTGAGATATTTGATCGATAAAAGTTGTTTTACACTGTAAATTTATTAAAATTCTAAGGCGGGGTGTTTTATACCTTACGCGAATAACGTAGAATTAATTCAAAATGTTATTTCTTTCTTTAAACTAGAACATATTATAATTTTATTTTATAATTCCATTTTTATAATTTATATTTAAGATAAAGACGTTTGAGTGTATAAAGTGACATAAAAAATATAAATAATGATTGTGGATGTCTGTATTTATAATATGTATTGCCGTTGTACATTAAATTATTGTAACAAATAAAAATTTATGTATTATAATTGTTTGCAGCATGCGCTTTAATATATTTCAGCGAATATGAATACATACATTGTATTTTAGACAGTAGTCGACTATTGCATTTATTATTATTAAATTACGAATATAATTATTAAATGCAATGAGAAGAAATAACCAGGAGAAGCGGTCAAATTACACTGCTACGAGTTTTTGCATGTGCGTGCGGTCGTACACACATCCCAACTTTTGATTAAACCACTACAAACTATTCCACCGAAACTTCGAAGCGATACTATGTCGCAAAATAACGTTATCAAAATTTTTGGAAAATTGCATTTGCTCTTGCCATAAAATCAAATCGCATATTAATAGAGATTTATAGCACATAGTGTATAGAAGCAAAATACGTCAATTACATTTGCATATATAGAGAGCCATTAAAAATTATTATGAAAAAATAAAGCCAATTGTATACATTTATTACTTATTATTTTATAAAACAAACTCATTATTTCACAGATAAGATAATTATTAAAAGAATCTTTATATACAAGTATTGCTAAATGATACTTTTTGCACTCACTGTAAATAATAACAGTTACGTAACTGTAACAGTTTTAATTAGATAACACAAAATATATTTTGACAAGTACAGAACATATTTTGACAATTTTAATATTAAACAAATTTTTTAATATATAGATTTCTTAAATGATTTCTTATCTTTACTTTCATAATACAATTCATTTCATTTCACAAAACATATGAAATATATATAATCACTAACAGTACACGTATCTCTCAATAACAAAGACATTAAATAAAAAGTTTCAAAAACCCTTTAAAATTATGTATATATAATACTAGACAATAGGTAATAATGCGGGTAAAAAAGTTCCAAATAAACAAAAAATATAGATGTCTAATTTTTTTAGCTGTATAATTGAGGCCGTATTTATTCATAATTTAGGGATTAATTTAAACTTTTCAATATTGAAAAACTTATTGTATTTATCGTAACGTAATAAATTATTATATTTTCAGACAAATTATTTTTTTATAAAAATTGTGAGATATTGACTATGTTTACAAAAGATATCATTTAAAATTACTTACCCCCTCATAAACTGGAACAGCAGCTTTCGGACCTAAATTGATGTGTCTGCCATCAGTCCGTACCAAAATATTTAAGCCACATGCTCCAGTTTCACCATCATTAAATCCAGGTGGATGATACACTCTCCGTTCAGTTAATACAGATAAGGTCATCGGAGCTCTGCAAACAAATATTTTTTTAAAAATTTATAAATAAGAGTATTTTTTGCCAACAGTTATTTTTTATGTATTATCTTCAAAACGTAATATTAAATAAAAGAAAAATTTATATAAATAATCATAATCTACATAGAAATGCGCGTTTAATCACCTAAATATCATTTCACGTATAGCACCATCGCCACCGATATACGCTCCATTACCTCCACTTCCGCATCGAATGGAGAAGCGGTTAAGTATAATTGGGTAGCGAAGCTCGAGTATTTCTGGATCTGTTATTCTTGTGTTAGTCATATGCGTGTGAACAGCGCTTCTGCCATGCCATATCGGTCCCTGGAGAACACAAATATATTTACTAAACAAATATCTATTGTACATACCACTAAAATATACGTAAAATTAATATAGAATGTTACAACTTTTTTTTATCTTATGTTATATAAAACTTTTGTGATATAAAAAGCATTATAATAATTATTATTATATCTTTTAATTTTTAATATTCAAATAATATTTCAATTTATTTTTTTTAATTATTATAATTATTTAGATAATTTATTAGCCAGAACTTATTTTAAGGCTCAAATATATATCATCTAAAGCTTATAATTTCTTCTTACTGCTCCACTTCCACCAGCAACTGTCTCGTAATAACCCCACTTCTCAGTACCAAGGGTTACATTGTTCATACAACCCTGCGAGGCTGCGCAAATTTCGAAAGCTGCCAAGATTACGTCAACAATACGTTGAGATGTCAAGACATTGCCGCCTACCACCGCTGCATCCTCAGAAGGATCGAGTAACGATCCTTTAGGGATAATTATTTTCACAGGCTTCAAACAACCCTACAGACAATATTAAATTAATCCAAGTGCATTATTAGATTTTCTTTAAAAAATCCAAAAGAACATTACCTGATTTAATGGTATATCACGTCCAACCATACACCTTAAACAATAAATTACTGCAGACAACGTTATGGCACGTGGTGCGTTGCAATTACCCCATACTTCACAACCCGTTCCACTGCGAATTTAGATTTTGATATCTTGTAAATTATTACACAATTTATAATATGTTATATGAAATTATTATAGGACTGAATTTTGCAAGAAGCAATAAAAAAAGTAAACATATATTTTTTGAAGAATATTATTTAGACTATATAGACAAATGTTATACATTATACATATAAGTGAAATTTAGACCGATAAGAACAAATAAAAAAAAAAAAATTTCAATCAAAGCCGATTTTGATACTTGATAATGTTCATATGCAAATTTGCAAACAAATTTTTCAGTTCTATAAGTTGCAGTTCAGTTCGATAAGTCAATTAGGTTTGTCTAGAACTTGAATCGCAAACTAAAGTTGGAAATAATATTAAAAATTATATTAATCATTAATTTAATAATAAGTTATACGTTCATGTGTTAAGAAGTATATAAAAAACAATAAAATACGAAAGACAAATAATAATTATTATAAAAACTAAAAAATAATATCGCCTGCTAAATTACAATTATTACAAATATGAGTTAAAATTATACCTAAAATCAAAAATTGCTTCGCCTTTGTTTATATCGAGATCCACATGTAACTTGATGGGACTACCGTTATCAAGGTAATCAACGGCATTGATATCGATTTCTTTTCCTCTTCGCGTTTTAATTTTCGTACCTATCGACTTCAACATTTCTCGAACGGCAACTTCAGCATTACTTTGAATATAATCCATATACGCTTGCACTACTTCGAGACTGTATGTATCAATTAGCTCGTTTACTAATTGAAAACCCTTACAGAAGGAAACATATTTTATGTATATTTAATTTACATAAATTTGACTAATTTGAATAAATAATTGAACATTACTTTTTGATTAGCTGCGATCTGAGCTTTGAGATCACTAATGTTGTTTGAGAGATTTCTGGTTCCCGAACTTCCCGGTACTTTGCTCGGTGCCATTAAGGTCTCTGTGAGTTCTTCTTCTTGAAATATTCCTTCATGTACTAACAGAAAAGTTTTAAAGACAGCGCCTTCCTATAAAAAAATACAATATTTATGTACAATTGTCTTAAAATCTATTCGGAAACCATATTCTCGTACCTGACTCAAACTCGTTGAGTGTGGTGGCATAGAACCCGGAGTAATACCACCAATATCAGCATGATGACCTCTACTGGCCACAAAGAATACCGGTGTAGGCACATCTCTAAGGTGCATATAAAATTCGAGTATAGTACACTTAAGGAACATTTAACACGAATAAAAGAAAAAATTAAGACATTTAGTATTAAAATATTAACAATATATCTTCTTTTGTTACAAAATTGCGTCTAATAAATATAGCATTAGTATAACGTTTCCCAAAAACATTTTTTTAGTTACGAAATGCAAAGAATGTACAAACTTGTAAAATACTGGCGTGATAACTGTTAAATCTGGAAGATGGGAACCGCCTGCTAATGGATGATTAGACAGGATGACATCTCCCGGCGTAAATTTGCCATTAAATGCTTTCATCTGATATTGTACAGTTTCTTGCATGGCGCCCAGATGCACTGGGATATGAGGAGCGTTTGAAACAAGACCACCATCAGGGCCAAAAATCGCACATGAGAAGTCCAATCGCTCTTTAATATTAGTAGAAATTGAAGTCCTTTGAAGTACTCTATCAAAAATTGGAAACACAAATATTACTTTGCAATATTTAAAAATGTTAAAAAAATAATTAATTAAATATTTGAAACGTTAAAATTATTTACTGATTACATACCGACCCATTTGTTCAGCAATGCTCATAAAACGATGCGAAAAAATACTAAGCTGAATACTATCAAGATCAGTGGTGACTTTTGTTCGCCGACCTTGTCCAATCATTATTTTTACATCACCGCGGATAGTAATTTCCGCAATGCAATCTGGCTCCACTAAAAGTGTGCTTAAACTATCCATAATAATGACAGGACCATGTAAAATATCTCCAGAAGATAACGAATTTAACTGATAGACGCCTGTTTCCTGGTAGCCACCTTCGAAGTATACCATAGTGGTCTAAAAAGTTCATATTTTTAAAGTAGAACGAGTAAAAGTCGTCGATTCCTACCCCCAGTCGGGAAGTGAAACATATATGCTTTTTTTATAATTTTTAGGCTCCAGAATCACGTGGAGCAATCAGTTTTTCATAAACATAAAGGAACGTATATAAAAATGTGAATGAAGTGAGTAAATAAGCATAAGATTTTTGCCATAAAAATGAAATACGTAATGATCGTTTTTAATTTTAATTCTCAAAAACCATCAAATATATAATATTTGTTGTGCTAGAGTTGAAATAGAGAAGGAAAGAAACGTACGAAAACTCGATGGATGTAAGACGGTTATAAGGGGCAAAAATCGACGACTTTTACCTCGTGATTTTTAAACTTTTCTTGATTCGTAACAGAATTCAATATTAAGTTTTAAAAAGTTATAACTCTTATGCTGAGTTTAGATTTCCACACGAGTGTCACACCATCTTTATCGTTTACCAAATGTTAAACAAGGATGACATAACACCCGGGGAGCACTCGGGTAGGAATTCGAACACGCCCTTTCAGGATGAGAAAAAGTCACCATAGTGACGTTGAAACAGTATCATATTTTGAGGCAGAAATACAATGTAATAATAAATTTTAATAAATCTTACTCTGGCTGTAAGAACAATTTAACAATAGACTCCCGTCCTCTAAAAGTAAAATTTGATTTAAAAGAAAGAAATAGTTTAAGAAAAAATAGTTTAACGATCACTTAAGATATTTTCTACATTTTTTATCTAACCTTTTCAGCTTTTGGTGAAGCTTGTGAAGGAGGCAATATAAGATCCTCTGGAATTTCAGATTTTCCAATTCCTCGAACTCTCACATCATCAACTAAAATCTTACGGTCTGGTATCGTAAAACCAAATTCTGTCTTATATCTAATTAAAAAATAGTTCATAAATAAATAATTAAAGACAAGATTTATTCAAATCAAACGCTTACCTTTCGAGAAAAGTAGCGAGAAAATTTCCGTGTCTAGTAGTGACGCTCATTGAATCCTGACTTGCAGGAGTGCACATTAAAGCGCAGTCAGTGCCCTCATAACGTAAGTGAAGAAATGGTTCCGTTTGTATTTGAGAATCAAAAAATCCTTGTGCGCGAAGTCTACTTTTGACTTTGGCTTCCATCGCATCTAACCGATCGTCCAAACGAGCGAAGTTTTCTGTAGATAAAAAAGAATATTAAAATGAAGGAACACGCAACATAATTAAAGAGAATTTTGTTATCTCGTAAATTACCGTGATTGTAAGTTTTAGCGCTTGGTTCTTGTGCCTCTTCAACAACATCTGCCAATGCCATCCCATAAGCTGACAAAATACCGGCATACTTATGAACAAAAACCGTACTTATACCCAACGATCGAGCGATTGCACAGGCATGTTGTCCTCCGGCACCACCGAAACATGCCAGGACATGACGAGAAGTGTCATAACCTTTTGCCTACATAAAAAGAAACTAAAGATAATTTAAGAACGACCATAGTACGTTACTTTGTCATTAGTAAAAAATAAATTCGATTTAACTGTACTTGAGTCAACGCACGAATCGGTCGGCACATGGTTTCATTCGCGACCCTAATAAATCCCATTGCCACTTCATCGATTGACATAGCTTCATCATTTTTTAAAAATTCATTGATCTGCGACATATGCAAACATTTTGTAAATCGAATGCAATACAATAAATTTTTTCTTCAATTCAGAAAAATTCATTCTTTTACAAAAAAAAAAATAGATTCAGAATGTAGATATTTTTTTGTAAAAATATTTTTGTAAAAGTAATGTAAAAGAAATTACCTCATAGGTAAGTGTTGTGAACAAACTTAATGTACGAGACACATCAAGCGGTTCGTTTTCCTTAGGCCCAAAAATTTGAGGAAAGTATTCAGGCAACAGACGACCCAACGCGAGATTGGCATCCGTTACAGTTAGTGGACCACCCTTTTTGTAACACGCGGGTCCAGGATGAGCTCCCGCACTCTCAGGCCCAACCACAAAGAGACCTGATCTGAAGAAAAGCATTGATCCACCTCCTGCCGCAACTGTATTGACATCCAACTTTAACCCAATTTTTTTATTTCAGCTAAATCTCTTCACAAAAAGATATTTAATATTTTTAAGTAATATATTTATCATAAGAAACAATAATACCTGCGGAGCTTGTATAGTAATGCCTGCCGTGGTGCTCTCATAAACGTGCTCGTAACTTCCTCCGTATCGACTTACATCAGTAGATGTACCGCCCATGTCGAATCCGATCACTGGTAGATCAGTCTCCTTTCCATAAGTTGTCATTGCATATCCAACAACGCCACCAGCTGGTCCAGAAAGTATAGCACGTGACCCATTAAAACTTTAACGTGCCAGCAAAACATAATATTATTTAATTTATGCGATAATAAGAAAAATAATTTAAAATAACTTTCAAAAATAAACTTTAATAGTTACGAATTCATAGGTGTTAATCCACCGTCGCTCTGCATAAACAATACATTGACACCTTTCAAGTTGTCTTTGAACCCTGAAGAAAAAGCCTAAAAAATTATTCATTACAGTTTAGAAATAGAAATCTATACCTTGAATGTATATTTTAATTGTTATTTTGGAAAGAAGAGATAGAAAGGAACTTTATATAAATAATTATAAAGGAACTCAAATTTCATGTATGTAATATTATAAAGATAACATTACCTGTACGTAGTTTTTAATGTGTGGCGTCAAGTAAGCATCTGCACATGCAGTAAAGCCTCTGGGAACCATTCTCGTCATCGGCATCACCTCGTGTGAAAGAGATATCTGTGAGAAATCTGCTTCTCGCGCTAATTCGCCAATTCTAATCTCGTGAGCTGCATAACTATATTATAAAAGTGCAATAGCAAAATTTAAATAAGCATATAAAATTGAAACAAATTATAAGCATTAATTGTGTGGTTTTAGAAATCATTTTTCAAAAACTGTTCATTTAATTGTGTGGTTTTAGAAATCATTTTTCTGAAAAACTGAAAAACTGTTCTCTAACAAAAAGATTTTTATTTAATCAAACAAATTTACTAACGTATAGCTATGTGCCAGAACGACAGCAAGACTATCTATTCCTAGATTACGAAGTGTTTTCAAATCTTCCTTCAATTGTACCTCATCAAGTTCTTGAATAACGTACAGATCTTCGCCGGTAGAACCTTTTACCTTTCGCCATGACTGATTCTCCATACGACAACTTCCCGGCAGAGCGGGAATTACTCTACATTTTACTCCTATTACATGTTTATACAAAACCTCCGGCATCACTATCTCCTGTAAACATTTAACAAAAATTAATTCAAATGATAGAACAAATGCGTTTATAAATTTCTGTACTATATACAATATTTCACGATAAAGCAATATATGCTGCAATCTGTAGCATTTTTCTTAATATAAATATGTTAAATTCAACTATACAAACCAAATCGAAAATATTTGGCCGGGACTGATTGCCGATGTATAGAAGATCCATGAAACCCTCATTTATTAATAGCGCCATTTTCGCGCCTTTTCTTTCCAATAACGCATTAGTGGCAACTGTCGTTCCCATTCTGATCCATTCTATATTAGAGGTATCGATTGCTCCATCCGTTTTAATGCTACCTTCCTAAAATTAATAAATAGTCGTAAAATATTTAAAGTATTTCGTATATGAGATTTCATTCTATGTAATATATTTTCTATTCTGTAATACAATCTAATATTATCTGTACTTTTGCTCGCAGATTTTTTCATATACATTGTATAACTTTATAATTTATTTAAACTATATGTATGCTTTATAATTTTGCTTGTGCAAATTACATACTTTCAAACTCGTACTGGCTGTAATTTATTAGACAAAAAATATGTAATATTTTTTTTTAATAAATTCCAAATTGTAAAGAATTATAAAATTATTTTTCCATAACTCTCTTTGAATTGGTTAAAATAACATATACCTCAGCTAGTATCCTACGAATGCCTTCTGTCGGCGCGTCGTTATAATTACTAGGATCTACGGATAGTAATTTCATAACTCGAATTTTACCCCCAGGACATCTAGCGTATATATCAGTAAATGTGCCACCACGATCTATGGAGAATTGGAATTTATCGTTTTCCATTGATATCTCCATGGATGAAACCTAGTTTATAAACCCGTAGATAAACCCTAATTTGAAAGAAAAGAAATATTATATTGTGCAAATGCACTTAATTTGTACAAGTTAAAATATTTCTTTATTTATGATTATAACTATCAGATAATATATATCAATAAAGTTCTATTGTTTTTTAAAACTTCAAAGTTTAATGTAGGTCATGGTGGAATTAGATAAGGTGACCCATTCTCATGTACAGTAAGTACAGTAAGTAGTAGAGGACAGTAAGTAGTAGGGGAATCTGTCAATCAATCAAGTTTTGAGGTCATTTGCAGAAATTGACTTGAGACTCGTTCGCACTGCAAATAAGCTCAATTTCTCATTGGTCGAGCTCTCAGAACACGTGGCGGAATCTCCGCCATTATGCGCAATGGGTCACCTTATCTAATTCCACCATGGCTGCGTTCAGAAACATCACCTGGGTGTTCCCATGTATCGTTTTATCCTTATTTAACATTGGGTGACTAGCTACGTTTACATCGTGCGCTTAGTCCGCGACCTATACAATAGGTGTCTTTGTTTAACCTACAGGATAAACAAGGACATCTATTGTATAGGCCGCGACCTAAATGCACGGTGTAAACGTAGCCAATAACAAGGATGAAACGACACACGGGATCACTCGGGTGATGTTTCCGAACGTAGCCCATGATATAGATAATGCAAAAGATCCGGTAGATTGTATTTCAAACATCAATGATATTGAAAATATGATCTGTAGAATTTTATATATACATATGTATACAAAAATTGAAAAGATGTTATTGTGAAAATTAACCTGAAAATGAATATTCCAATCGTATTAGTTTTTTTTGTACATGTATACACAGTATAAGTTTAAACTTAAAATAAAAGCTTCTCCAAAAGCCTATCATATCTTTTGGGCTGTGCATAGTTTTTATTTTCCAGTTTAAACTTATATTGTAACTCTTATCATTTTGTTCGCAATATCAATATTGTAATACAATCTATCAAGTCTTTCGGTACGTTCCATATATTAAACTTTGTGTTTTGGAAAAGCAACAAAATTTTTTTTATTACCTAATAATTTTATGCAAAACACAATATATATATCTTGAAATAATACAATTTGTATTATAATGTATATAATAAAAACTATGTAATATTATTACATTCATTGGAATAAAATAAAATAAATAATTCGTAATTCATTGCAATAAATAACTTTAAACTCTTTAGTTATTTGTTTAATCTTAAATATGATACACACACACACACACACATATTTCATTTAATAATAATACCTTCGCTCTCTATGAAAACAAGTATATATGCACACTGTTGATGCACAAGTTAAGCACAATACTTCTGATAAGAAACTAGTTAACGTCGCTCACATAAAAGAAGATTTAATTATCTGATAAAACATTTTGGAAGTCTTTTTCATTTTTAACATGATATTTTAACGTATAATAGCGTTAATAAGATATTAATCAGCTTTTAAAACTAAGAGCAGAAGAAAAAGTACGATATATTCTAAAAAAGTAATTTAAAATTGGATTTGAAATTTATAACTCTTGTTTGCGCATGCGTATATAAAAGCACTCGATATTTGTGTACGTCAGCTGTATTTCTACGCCAACACGTCAAAAAAATTCCACTGTCAATAATAATTGCTGCTTTAATAATTTTGTTATAACGCAATAACGTCATATATATTACAACATCATAACAATAAGTGCAATATTGTTAATGTCTTCTTGACACTATGTATCCAGCACCATGTATATTTTCAGCCACGCGATTCTAACAGCACCAGACTGTGATATTGGAGCAACTGCTACTGTACGAGTAGGGATAGTGCGAGTAATATCAACAGCAAGGTTACTATTGAAGGTTCTCAATCACGAATTGAGTAATAGAGTCGACACTTAACACTGTTACGATACAATAATTACATTACAATAATAATAGTTTTTAATTCAGAAATAGTACACAATTTAAATTTCCCAGCAAACATTAACTAACAATAACATTATTGTTAGTTATAACTTCCCACTCAATAATACAACTGTATCATAACATATAACAATTATATAATATGTAACAGTTATATTATTGATTCTATTAAATGGAATTAAACAGTCATATTATTGGTTAGTTATATAGTTGATGTTTGCAGTCTTAATATTAATTGGACCTTTCTTTATTTTATTTTATTATATTTGATATATTATAAAAAATGATGAAATATGTAACATAATTTATAATAATTACTTTATGAAATATAATCTCTTTAAATTAAATTAATTCTCTCTTAAAGACTGTTTAATAGATAGAAAAATGGAAGATTTGAGCAAACAAATTTCTTTATTTGTGTAATAGAGAGAGAGAGAGAGAGTCTCAATAATTAAAAGTTAATATTACTATAAAATTATATATCAATGAATATGTGGATATATGTATTTTAAAAATATACAAAAATGATAAAAATGAGTATCACTGATCAAGAGACTGCGCACAAAGAAGTCGCTTCAGACAATATATCGGGTGAACAGAAAATAATATTAAGAAACGTATATAAATTTTTATTTTAGTAATTTTTCCTCTGAAAAATAACTCACTAACTGTCAATAGATTTTATACCTCCAGAACTCTTAATTAATATTATTTAATGAATTATCGAAAATATTCTTCATAATATATATTACTTATATATTAGCAATACAATTGTTTTAATATGTTAAATTATAAAACTTCTAATATTTTTTTAAATACTAAGGTAATAATATTAAGTAAATGATTCTTATATAAAACTTGTATCAAACTGTTTATACCTCTTACAATGGAAAAGTTTAGTTATCTGATAAAACATTTCCAAAATATTTAAGCATACTATATATAATCTAAACAGCTATCAGAGCGCGATAAGATTGCTTTATTTAAGGCCATAACTTCGTTACAGTCATACTTAAAGTCATGCTAAGAAATGTAGCTAAATTTTAATAAAATAGTACATTCTGTATTTAATCGTAATAATTGTAATTTTAATAACGATAATACAACTTGTGTTATATTATATTTATATTGTTAAGTGTAAAATTATAACATTGATGTGATATTACTGTTAATTGGTGTTTACTAGAAAAGATATAGCTCATAAAAAGAATTCTTCTCTTTTTTATTATATATATATTATTATTAAATTACTACAAAGTAAGAAAAATATAAAATATGAACATATAAGATAAATGTAATGTATAATTTACATTTCAATAAAAAAAAGTTTTTTTTAATTTTATTATCTTCTGATTATATTTATATATTACGATGTCTTGTCTTTATTTAGTAAATATTTATTTAAAAGAAAAAATAAAAAAATATTCTGATAACTACTCTCGTTATAATAAATTTCTTTATTTATGTAACGATCGTACATTTTCAAAAATAGATACTGACAATTCTGTTAAATGTCACTTCTGAATATGTATACATACATCTTTACAGGAACTGAAAAATATTGTCACTTGTTCATAGTACAAAAATATTGAATAACAATGAGTAAATAATAAATTTTTAACTATTTTAAGCGAAAACATATGTGCATAATACTACTTACATAAATAAGAGAATTACAAGAGCACAAAGATCCTATAGTCAATTGTAGATCGTGCTATATTTTAAATATTGTAACCCCGTAAAGAAATTTAAACGCATACGAAAACATAATTTCGCTGTAATATACGAATAGATACTTTTAATTAATGCAGTGCAATATTGATTAAATGGTATAATTGCAATGGTACAAATCTAAACATCAAAAATTTTTAATAACGAAAGTTAATTTATCGTCCACAAATTAACTATCGGTATATCACGCACGTGCTCTTAGCGCCGAGATATTATCGTATCCAAATGTCAACATTACAATTATAACTTATATAAACATTATAATTATGTCAATACTACAATCATGTATACAAATTTTTATCTACAGGAAGAAAGTAAGATATCGACCGTGTGTCGCAATCGTACAGATTTTCGATGTCTCAAATTTAAAGCTTATTTTACAGCGTAATACATGTAAATTTTAACAAATAAATAATTGTAGCTCGAAGACTTATAATAAGGTATTCAATTAGTTATCAATGTAATCTAAATGGACAAAATATAATACTTGTTATTTTAACAGATGCATTTTTTCCTTTTATGTCCGTTAAAATTCTTTCATTACATTATTTCTTTTGTATCCATTAAGATTCTTGCCTTAGAATTATTTACAAAAATTATTATAAATCTTTTATAACGAACTTAATGTTAATAAAATCTGCAAATGCAAAGAAAGAGTTTTTTAAACTTAATTTGTTTTTCTTTATTTAAATAAGATGAAATGAAGAATATAATCTGAAAAGGTATAACTACATAAAGCATTTAAACTTTTAAAAAAATATCTGTTTCTTATCCTTTTAACAATTGAGTAAATAATTGTCTATTATACTATATTTTGTCATTTACACTGGAATATATTCGTCACATTGACGTAATTCTGATATAGAAATAATTCATAAATTGTAAAGTATCAGTCATATAATTATCCTAATAAAAAATATCTCACATATTATTTCTTCTTGGAAACAATACGTGCTTCCTTATATACGCTTTTACGAAAGAAGACATGTATGATAGTTCATTGGTTCACAATAAAATAGTGATAACTGTGTATAGTTTAATCTGCAACACTGGAATATCGTAAAAAACAATTACTTTTAAGTCCGGGGTCTAAGGCCGAGTCTACAATGAGTCGATAGTCTGTAGTCGGTGAGTTGGAAGTGAATCTGAAGAATAGTCGATGAATCGGAATTGATCGGGATGAAATCAGTGAATGGATAGAGTTGGCAAGCAACCAATTACCGACTCATTGTAGACTCGGCCTAAGGGATCTATTCTGTAACGCTTAACAACTGTAACTGTAGCGTCACAGTTGAGTAACTTTTTTATCATGTACAAAATCTGTGCAACGACACTTTAACACTACTGTTACAAATGTTAAGAGTTACAGAAGAAGTCCCTAAATCCCACATTGTTTTAAAAAGGACATTTCTCTGCAGAAAATATATCACGAAGAAGAATTATAATCGGATTTTTTTGTTGACGATATTATTATAATGTTCATCAGTCATCCTTATGTAGGTATCATTGTTAAGGAAATAAATCGGATCTTTAACCTGCAAAAATGATTTTTACAACAATTGTTTCTATTTTTTAAGAATTAAAACATATGAAAACGGTACTTGCCTTTTTAATATCAAAAGCATCTCGTTGAAGATCTTTCTTTTTTAATTTAAACGTTCCTACACAAAGAAAAAAATTATATCATTATAAATAAATATAAAGGTCAGCTAAAGATGACAACAATAAATTTATTACCAGTCATAGGCAGTTCTGATAGAATACGAATAAAACGAGGTATGGCATAATTCGGCAAAACTTTCTTCAACTTTCCTACCAATCCCTTCAGGTCCAAAGAATTTTCTGGGTCAAATATAGCCACCATT